TGTAATATAACACACTCACCTCAAAATGACTTATTTTTCATAAATTTTGAAACAATAAGTAATTAAATTATTTATTCTATTTTTTTAATGTTAATACGTAGATTTGATATACAAAAACAACTGAAAAAAATTAAGCACTTTAATACACAAACTATTGGAATTTTTTTGATTTTTACATTTATAAGTTTAAGTTGTTTTGAATGTGGGAACATTTGTGTGAACTCTCTTGTTAAGCTATAAAGCCATACAAAAGCTTTTCGTGTTTAAATAAAATTTTATAGTGAAAATAATAATAATTTGTGGAGATGAAAAATTTAATAAAAATTTAAATAGTACAAAAACAGGTAAAAAACAATATGCTGTTGTTTAATTTTTCCATGGGAAATGTTATCTCAAACAAACAAATAAATCACGTTCTCAGTATGGCAAAGTTCGCTGACGTTCAAATTGTGAGATATGCACAAACAACTATTTATTATGATTTGAAATCAGCTGTTAGAGGGGTGAAGTCAAAGAATATTTGAAAAAGGCAACAAGTTTCGTATTGTATGGGTTACAACAAGCTATACACGCCCGGCAGTGTTACAATCGATATAATTAATTTTTATAATACACACTCAAAAGTTTACAGCACAGCTTATCATTTTCGTAAAATATTTAATATGAAGAAAAAATGTTCTATATTAAAAAAATCTTGTTAGAATTAGTTTAACAAATACGTACGATAAGAGACTTTGACAAACGGTACAAACAAAACACCGATAATTTTTTAAAAATATTTTGTATTTTAAAAGTTGAAAAAAATAATAATTTCTTTTTTATTGTAGTAAATAAAATAAACTTTTGTTATTTACTAAAAATTTGAAAATTATAGATAACAAAATTTTTCGTTGTATGCGATGCGCGCATATCTGCCTCCCACATTTCCCAATCACATTTAAACTGGTATTTATTTTCATTGAAAAGCGAAAACTTTTCAAGAAGAAAAGGAAAAAATAAAGCAAATAAAAACTCAGCACATAATAAAACAGTAATAAAATATGTGCACAAAATATAAATAAAAACAGTGTTATTCAACAAAAAAATATATTGATATTGATTTTTTGGTTTTGCATTTTGTTGCAAAAATAATTAAGAAAAAATGTATATAGTTAGAAATAGTAAATTTTTAAATATATATTTTAAAATTCTACGACAGTTTAGCAAGTAAATATTAAAAGAGTTTGAGTACTTTATCAGAACTTTTTAAATGGTTATGAATTTGTGTTTAATATACTCATTTATAAATTAGAAAAAAATTTCAGACTTATTAAAATGTTATTAAAATTGCAGACTTTTAAAGTGTACTAGATTACATAAATTGTTTCTAATATATAACAATGCTTGCGTGAAGAAAATAATTAATTATAGGTGTATTCCTATGAGATGAATGCTCCAATACAACGAACACCCTTTGGTTACTTAAGAATAACTTGGCATCACTGCCTAAATCAGTAAACATATGACAAATGACAAGTAAAAGAATTTTAAACATATTTGTGGTTGAATAATAGTTATAAACACAAAAATTCCTGCAGATTGTTTTATAAAATAGTGTTTTTATATAAATATATATAAAATCAATGACGCAAAAAATTATAGGTGAGCATTTTATATTGTGTTTGAATATATATAAAAGTACACATTTTATTTAGGTTTTAACTATAATAACGGAGAAAAATAATGAAATAATACGAATACAAAGAGGAAGCGCATTGATTTTTTATATAGCTCCAGCTCTTCAGAAGGCAATTCGATAACTTTTATTTTGAGCGTTAATTTTTGTGTATTTCTATACATATTTCGGCAAATTCGCTTTTGCCTTCTTCAGGAGAATTCCTTATATTAGGATAGGAAATAAAAGTTAATCATAGTAATTCTGAATACTCCCAGGGAACAAGTCTCCCTATTATCCACGCTATTCCCAAGAATACAACTCATTTATTCTTAATTGCTTGGGAGAAAGCAGTCTTGTGAACAACTTAAGTTTCAAATTTGTTTTGTTAAATTTTGGCAACCATGGCACTTTTTAATGACGAAAAGTGCGAAAATGAGCAAAACAAAGAAAAGAATTGTGTATCATATGTCGATTTAAATTTAAAAATCGCATTATTTGTCTGCAACACAAAATATAAGAAATAAATATAATGAATACTTTATAAGTAAATAATAGAAAATTTATATTTTATTTATTTGTTTTATTATTTAAGCATATATATAATTTATTATTTTCTTATATGCAATAAAACAAAGTAAAATATCTTATTTAAAATTAGTAAATATCTTATTGAAATTATTAGTGTTTTAACTAAAATTTGAGTTCCTCTCCAAAACTCGTATTTATTTTTATAATAAGGATATTAATTAAATTAATAAACTGTAATAATAGTTTATGATTGTGCAGATGTTATAATAAAAAAGAAGCAATGTTTTACCTGTGCATAATTGCAAAAGTTTATTTTAACTTGTCCCATTCATTTCAAAATTTGGATTTCTTTCATTATCTATTGTTTTAAATAACAATAGTTAATGCTTTAATTTGTGGAAAAAAAACCCTAGTAAATAAAATAAATAAATAAAAATTTAAATATATTAAATTTGTTATAATACTTTTATTAAAATAATAATGTTAATAAAATATATTATATAAAAATTTCGTTATATTAAATTTAAACTTATTAGAAAAATTTGTCAACGAAATAAACAAATAAATATTTAAAATGTTACATTTATTATACCAATTTTATTAAAATTTATTCAAAAATCTGATCATTATAAGTTACTTTCATATTAAATTAAACTATTTTTAATACTTTTTTAACTTGTCTCCCAAACTATTTGCAAAATTGGGAAAACCTCCCATTCCCATACGATTCAGATTTGAAAAATTAGGAATAGGGAACAAAACTGCCATTCTTATATTGTTCAGAATAGCAAAATTGGGAAAAGGGAAAAAACTCCCATTCTCATGCGATTCAGAATAGGCACAAATATATTTATAAAAAAAAAAAATAAATATTTTATAAATATAAATAATATAAAAATATTATAACTGTGTTCCAATATTGAAACTGTTGTCATTCTTTTTATTATCACGAAGGATTTTATGACGGATTTTAGATGAAAAGCATATAATAAAGAAGAACGCAACAGAATAACTTGTCCTCCTCAAAGGTATCATTGATATACAGGCTATCATTTAGATTAAATAATTTAAAGAATTTATAGAAATTATGAAAAAAAACCATCTACTAAACCAAGCTATATTTTAGAAGAAACTTCATTCAGTTGTTGTTTAGAAGTGAAGGGTCTTCAGGTTGCTACTATTTTTAATATTACATATATTTATTGTAATTAATTGAATTTAGTAATGGTTCTGAACTTTGCTCCAGCAATGTTATTGTTATATATGCTTCCATTCTGTCGATATGCATTTTTTTTCCAACTCTTGGTGCAAATCTTCTTACTATTAATCTTGTTTGAACTCTACTATTTCGTTTTACACCTCACTATACATACTTAAATTTCAACCAGTGGCTAAATAGTTCGAGTTTAACTTGAATTCACGAGCAATGCTCTACTTCTATGTAAGATAAGTTTGCATAGAAGTAAAGCATTGCTACGGAAATAGAAAAGGTTATTTTTCGAAAAATGTGTAACTTATTTGCGATTATGATTTAAAAATCTTGGGATACTATGCTCGCTATGATGGAAATACTCACGATTCTTATGGGAGAATACCGCAATCAAAAAGTTCCTAGAAGCCAATTACAGGCAAAATAATGATTCTATTGGTAAATATAGTCATTCCGGATAACTTCTTCAACCATTGTTAATGACTCCTTATAAAAATACTGTAAATGCAGGCCAGCAAATACATTGAATTTCAATGCAAAGCATATTAATGCTCGTAATTGCATTGAACTGTTAAATGGATTCCTTTAAAAGGTTTAATTTATTTACTTTAACTTACTTTTTTCCATTGCTCTAGATTTTTATTGAATCCTCCAGAATTGTTTCGTTCTTCGGCACAGTTTTGCCAACAGTTTTCAGTCTTTTCATGACTATCCGATCCTAAAAATTTAATTTTTGTGCTTGCGACACACGACCAGAGAAAATTTTTTTCTTAAAAATCGTTAATGATTTTAACATATCAATAATAATTAATAATTATAATAATATTATAATATATATTAATAATATTATAATAATTATAATTAATAAATAACAATAATTATTATTATATTATATTAATAATATCACTCATTACGAAGTTATCGCGTCACTTTTAACTAATATTTTATTACAATAAAACAAATGTTTTCACTACCACATTAAATTCAGAATATCTCGCATGCAATTTGGCAGGTAAAAAAAACTGCAAAGAAAATGAGAAAATCTTCACCACAGTTACATTAATACTTCGAGTGACTAACTGTTAAAAGTGAGAAACTTATATAGACAAGTCATAGACCAGCTAAAGGTAGGTAAAGAAAGCAGAAACTTTTATTTGTGGGGCTGAAGTCCGCCCCGAAAAGAATCGAATGATTATTTTTATACATATGTATGCTCATTAATGATAACATCCATTATCATTACCATATTTTTAATGAAATTAATTTTTCTTATATTAATCAAATTATCTTGTGTCAAAATGGCAACAACCAGCTAATCAGTTCAAAAACTGTTATACTGCTGTTTTGGGATAATTTTCCTTAACCAATAGAGCAAACAACCATTAATTTTACCGAGAGCAAAAACGCCGGCCCCAAAAAGAAAAAGTTACTACTATTTTAAAGCTTCATCTTTTTCCTTCAATATTTTTAATACTGAATATCAAATAAATGGAATTTGCAAAAAATTTCGAATCTTTTGAATTTATTCCGAGCCCACCAAAATAATTTTTTAAAATGTGGCAACATTATACACCATCTGTTCTTAAGTTCGGACACATTCATGACCGGTTTCTAATGTAGGATATTTCCATTTTTAAGTATTGCAATAAATTTAAAATGCCTCCCATAAAACCGAATAAAAAATGGAATTTTTTAAAACAATTTTACTTGAAATATGTTAATTTAGAGTATTTAAAATTCTTAATATTTGATCCCGCGGCACTTCCTATTGTAACGGTGTTAGTATTATTAGGAGAGCTCCTGTTGAATGTGCTTGTAATTCAGCGCGTTCCTTACACCGAAATTGATTGGAAAGCTTACATGCAAGAATGTGAGGGATTTTTAAATGGAACGACTAATTACGCACTTCTCAAAGGTAAGATTTGTAGTATTTTTATCGCTGCTGCAGAATGTGTGTGCTATAATCTATTTTTGTTTTGATGGTTATGTTTAAAGTCAACCAACAATGTGTCTTAACAGAATAAACAAATGCATAATTTTTCATTTAAAATTTTCTTTAAAGTATCAAAAATGTTATAACTGAAAGTATATTCTCCAACGTAAACTTAAGTACGCTTATATTGCACATCTTCTGTATAATTTCCAATCTAATTCTGGTGCATGAAAATATAAATTTACCTCAAGAGTGTTACTTATTTATGGAATGTAAATTTTTTAGTAATTAAAATAAAACACTAAATCTTTATATTGTTTACAGTTTGTTCTAATGGTTGTCTTATTTATTTTATTCTTGGAATCTTTCCCCAACTTCGATTTAATCAAGTAAAATTTAGTTAAACCGAAACAAAAACAATTTTTATACAAAAAATGTACATTCCTGACGATACCCGTTGTGATATAATAAAATTTAAGAGCGAATCAAATTCGTTTAAATTTATTTATTGTTATCTTAACACTAGGCAACTACGAATCAATAACAATTTTCTATTTTGCGCTCTTGATGATAATTAGTTTATTAATTAAACAACGATTTAAGCCTTGCTAGAAATCCGTTTGAACTGTTCACTTCTGCTCTGTAAAAAATTAAATTTATAATCAATTGAGCATCTTAAAAAAAATACTTTATCTACAATATATTACGTCGCTTTTTTTGTGCCATCCGTTTGCAGTGTAACTCCATTTATTTGACCGGGTGTGTCTTTTTCCAATTCTGCATAGGCTAAAATTAATTTTTTCTGTTCTTGGGTTAACTTCTTAGGGACATCAATTTTTATGTTTACGTAATGGTTGCCATAACCGCTTGTATTAACACGTTTGAGACCTTTTCCTTTAAGATAAACTTTGTGATGAGATGAAGTACCGGGTTCAATATAAATAATTTGATCTTCATATACGCCTTGTATACGTACTGTACCACCAAGCACTGCTTGGGCAAGGGAAATATTAGCATCTGTGTGGACATCGGCGCCATCTCGTCTGAAATATTTACTCTGTTCAACCCTAAACGTTATAAACAGCTCTTTGCGTCCCACTTGCATGCGAACTGTTTGACCGTTTTCTATACCAGCTGGTACAGGAACTGTAACCTTTTTGCGTTGCACTGTTTGACCTTTTCCTTCACATTCTGCACAGGGAAATTTAATAAATTGACGTGTTCCTTGACAATAACGACAAGTAGAACGCATAACGAATGGACCAGTCGAAATTGTTTCCATTCCAGTGCCATTACAATATTGACAGCGGCCTGGTTTTGTACCGGGTTCACATTTGGAGCCATTGCATTTGGGGCATGTATCAACAACATTGACATTCACATCTTTATTAACTCCACGTGCGGCTTGTGCAAAAGTTATATCCATTACAACTTCTTGCGCACTACCGAAACCATATTGAGAGTCTGCAAATTCATCGAAGCTATTAGTGCGGAAATTAGCTTCTCCAAATATTTTTCGGAAAAGCTCTTCTGGATCAATTGTTGATCGAAATTGCCAGCTCTGAGAAAATCCCTGCGGTCCAAAGCCTCCGGCACCAGACCGACTCATATTTTCAGAAGTCTGTCCATATGTATCATATTCCCTACGTTTTTGGTCATCACTCAATACTTCATATGCTTCTGATACTTCTTGAAATTTTTTACTAGCGTCTGGGTCGTTTTTATTCGTGTCCGGGTGGTATTTTTTCGCAAGTTGATAATAAGCCTTTTTAATATCTTTAGCAGATGCATTTTTTGCAACACCTAAAGTTTGGTAATAGTCTTTAGCATTCAGCCAGTTGGAGTGGTGTAACAATCTTGTTTGTTGTGCAGCTAAGGATGTATTGAACTTGGTTCTTGATTTGAAATGTGGCCAAAAAAATATATTGTTATAGGATATTGTTGATATCCATTTGCTCTGTCCTTTGTTGCAACACTTAACTGATAGTTGCCGAAGTAAACACAAGTTCATCCTATTTATACAAATCATTTTTAATAAAATTAATTTGGCCGAATATCCAGCTGACATGCCGTAACACTTTGCATGCTTTTATAAATGCATTAACTGTCAAAAAAACGACAATTCATAATTATGTGTTAGTCACAATAAATAATGGCTTGCGTAATAAACAACTTGTGAACACGTACTTTCTATTGTGAATAGAAAATTTACTTACGAAATTTTGAATGTTTACATAAAGAGCACAAAACTAACCGAAAATATTTTCTATAAGTACGGATACTCCATGATGTATATATTACAATATAAGCTGAAGTTTACCTGTTTTGATTTAAAAATTTTATTAAAAAAAAATTGTTTTATTTAGTTTTGTACTTAATACGTTTTAAATTTTTTTTTCTGCAAAAAAAAATGAGAAATTTCTGAAGGGTATAACTATTACATACTTGAATTTTTTAACAAAATTTTAAAAGATTGTATACGTCAGGGAAGATATAAGATTTTCTCTGGTATATATGATTCAATGAATCACATCAAATGCTCTGCTTGGTATTCCATATGGTATTAAATAAATGACATATGTGTATGAACAAACAATCTAGAGACGTTAGAAATTTTAATTTTGTGTTACTAAATTATAAATCTAATGTAGCAAAAGATTTAATATAATCAACAACAGGCTTTTAAAAAAATTCACTCCTTGATTTTGCATTATTTATGTGTCTTAATTAATATTACTTAAATTTTGCTAAAATTTTAACATTTTAATTTAATTGTTTTTAGAAATAGGATGTACTTGATATTTGGACCGATAGTTGGCTATATATAGTTAATTAGTTAAACAGTGAGTTTGGTGGTGTGGATAAGTATGGTTGAATATTTTTATGCACGTTTATAGGCTAAATATTTGATAGTTTTTAGAAATTCTTAAGTTTCGTAAATATGGTATCCAGTTCAACTTTGGGTTGTTTTAGGGTTTTATTAATGATTTTATGATAATTTATTTATTTATTATCTGTAATTTACGATTAAAAACATAATTATATATAAAGAGAGCTACTATAAAGTAAATTTTTAAGTGAAAATGAGTAATTTTAAATTAATGAAAAACAGAATAAAGAAAAATGTGTCTTTTATTAATACTATTTGTACAATACTATTTGATTTTTTATCAAACCACCAAAAAAACCCCGCAAAAATCAAATATAGAACCTTCGAAAATTTTTACAATTGCGACAAAAATCATTAAGAATAAGATTTTATCTTATGGCATTAATGCCTTATCGATAGTAAATCGGCAGCAAATGCATTCTAACACTGATATCTTTACGTGACATCTCAATGAGATGGAAATTTTTTTTATTTTTTTTAAAGAATCCATGATGGATCCACAGATGTCTGCATATTGAATCTTTGCATATTGTATTATAATGTATATATAATAATTAGTAAAGAAGACAAATTAATCACGGTTGTTCAATTGGAAATAAATGTTTAAAATTTTATTTTTTATTTATAGGTGACACCGGGCCGCTTGTTTATCCTGCTGGTTTCGTCTACTTGTATTCAGCGCTGTACTTTATAACATCAAATGGAGAAAATATTCGTGTTGGACAGTACATTTTTATGGGCATATATATGTTACAAATGTGGTTCATATTGCGTCTTTATACAAAATCTAGAAAAGTACCACCATATGTGTTGGTCATAAGTGCATTTACATCTTATAGAATACATTCGATTTACGTTCTTCGTCTATTTAATGATCCAATAGCTATACTCTTTCTTTATGCGTCACTAAATTTGTTTATGGATCGTCACTGGATATTTGGTAGCATACTTTTCAGTCTTGGTGTTGGCGTGAAAATGAATATTTTATTATTTGCACCTGCTTTACTGTTATTCTATATAACCAATTTAGGGTATGTGAAGGCATTGCTTCAGATATGCATATGTGGTTTTGTTCAACTTTTAATTGGTATTCCTTTTCTATTTACTTATCCGTTAGAATATATTAAGGGCAGTTTCGACTTGGGTAGAATATTTGAATATAAGTGGACTGTTAATTATAGATTTCTGCCCCAAATTTTGTTTATTAATAAATATTTTCATTTAAGTCTATTAGCCCTCCATATTATTTTGTTATTAATATTCGCGAAACCAACACACTATTTCTTCACAAGATATCTACGATTGCGTGAGTTGCAGAAACAACTTCAACCACAACTTCATCAAAGAAATAAAGATATTAAAGCTAAAGGTATAGCGTCAAAGAAATCAAAAGTGGTGGATAAAACACCTAAAGAAAAACTAACGGCCGAACAAGAATCATTTCTAAAAACGTTCGAAAAAAATTTGCAAAAATCTACGGGATTAAACACACCGCCAAAACGCGAAAATAAAGAAGTTCCGTCAACTGAGAAAGAAGTTTCGATTCATTTCGAGCAATGCACTCAGCTTGCTTTGTTACCATTTTTTTTGTGCAATCTTATAGGAGTAGCTTGTGCTAGATCATTGCACTACCAATTTTATGTGTGGTATTTCCATTCTCTACCTTACTTAGCATGGTCAACTGAATTTAGTTTAGGTTCCCGCTTTCTTATATTGGGTTTAATTGAAATGTGTTGGAATACATATCCCAGTACTTACTTTTCAAGCATTGCACTTCATTTATGCCATGTCGTCCTCTTGATAGGAGTTGGACGTGCAATGTTCAAAACAATCAGACTGAGTGAATCAGCAAAAAATCGATAATTGGTACTAAATTTTTGGAGAAATGGACTTAATTTAAATATAAAATAAAATGGAACGCAAAAGTAGTAATATGTGTGTTTATGTCAAATTCTTGTTATTTGTTTTAACGATACAAATAGTATTAATTCTAACATTGTAACAATCCATGTTTTGTTATAAATTACAAATATAAATACCAAATAAATCTTATATCAATTTATTTACACAACTATCTATGTATAATGTATTCACTATTTGAAGCAATAAATATTAAGTCTTTGAGAGAACAGTTTAAAATAAGAAAATATTTAAGACGTCAGCTTAAATTTAAATCTTAAGGTATAAATTTTTAAAAGTATCTTACAAGTTACTAAATTTAAAATAGTTTTACAAATAGGGACGAATGTTTACTATTCAAAAGTGGTCAAGTACTAAGCGTTTCAGTGCACGAACTAACTGTGAGGTTGCTTACAGAATGTGTGTTAGGATTTGTTAAGGTCGTCATTGACATTGTGGCTGACGTAGTTTCTAAATTAATTCGGTTGTTTTCCGTTGGTGTTGCGTTAGTGTCATTTTTGTGTTGCACTCTAAAAAAACGCAAAATTGATGTTTCACTATTACGTCGACTGGATGTAGGCGTTTTTGGATGTGGAGCTGATGGCGACATAGTTTCATGAGACCGGCCAGAATGTGATGATCGCCGTCGCGGTGTTGTGTTTCTTGGACTGCCTTCTTCGTTACGTAAATTTTGTAAACGCGGGGACATAATGTTAGTAAAATTAACATTTACTTCAGTTGATCTCTGTTCATTCATTTTTTCAGTAAGTGTTGATCCACGAGAAGACAGCAATTTTTGTTTGCGAATTTTTGTAAGCCAGTCAATTTTATCCTTGTGTTTTCGTGTTGGTGACATTACTACTAAATGTGGAGCTTCACCATCTAAAACATAGTTTGGCAGATTAGATGTGGGTGAAAACACTACAGAAGATAATGGTTGCTGCGTATTTGAAGAAGCTGCTACGCCATTCAAACCGTTTGACAATATATTCGAAGATGTATCTGGTGGTGAATTGAAGCAGTTATTTCGATTTTCTGTAATAGCTCGCTCACTCAAAGGTGATATTAATAAATTAGAACTTTTATTAGAAGCACTAGTCAAAGTTTCCAAATTATTTTCTTGGTTACACTCCATAGAAGATTGATTATTAACCAATGGAGGATTTGTATTTTCTGGTGTTTCTTCGGCAATGGCAGATAAATGCTTGAAAATGTGACATGTAGGTTGTGCGGAACCCATTATGCCACTTGAGGTAGAGGGACTGAAGAGACGTCGAGCTATAATTATATTAATTTTAAATATTAAATTATAAATATTATGTACACCTTATTACCTCGGGATTCCATTGTTCGTTGTCTTTTTTGTTCATGTTCCATATTTTCGCAACCAGTGGCAGGTCCTAACATTTCGAGGAAAGAACGTTTATTTGGCAATTTTTCTATGGAATCTGGTGTTCGCCCGCTCTGCGCTAAATGTTTAATGGAACGTGGTGTAAATTGCAAACTACATAGATTACTTGAAGATAACATTTTTGGTAACCTGGGCAACACTGTCGCTTTGCCGCGGTAATGTGTAGTTTGCTCTTCAATAGACAAATTTTCAGGACCGATACGCCATATTTTATGTCTTGCATCATCACTGCATGTAACAATTGGGCAGTCATTTGTTGATCCCCACGCCACGCATGTAACTTCAACAGTATGCCCAGACAAGGCTACCAAAGGTTGTTCGGGTATTTCTAAATTCCATATATATGCTTTCTCATCACTACTGCCACTTAAAAGATATCGACCATCAGGGCTTAAGCACGATTTAATGTAAAATGTGCTGTTTTGTAAACCTTTGTAACATGCCAGAGGTTGGGGCGAGTAAGCGGAGAGATTATAACAATAAATGGTATTATCCATACAATTTGCATACAATCTGGAAGCTGAATCGTCGATTATTAAGTTTGTAAAACCTCTAAATGTAGATGTGCCAGCATACGGTAGACTATGTCTAGGAAGCGGTTCTTTTTTGTACGAGGTGTAATTTCTTCTTAAATCCCAAACTTTGATGACACCGTCACCAGCACCACAAGAAATCAATGTATTTGTATTCTAACATATGTTTTAAAAGTAAAAAACAAAAATGTATTTTATGTTTTTTAAATTAATAGTAAATATTTTATACCTGAAAAGCTAAGCCAGTTATACTGCTGGTTGAAGTATTCGGAGCAAGTTTTGGTGTATGATGGCGTTTTTTTCTAGAAACTGGTGTTCCGGGCCCGCCCGCATGCCCACTAAATATACAATTATCAATACGTGGAGTCATGTCAACACTTAAAGCAGCTCGAGTGTCCCAAATAATAATTGCACCATCACGTCCTCCAGTGGCAAAAACTGATGAATCACATTTGCGAAATGCTGCAGTTTTTACAGATCGTGTGTGACCCAGAAAAGTACTACTCTGTATGATCTCTGATCCAGTTACAATCCAGAGACGTGCAGTGTGATCTCCTATAGTGTTAAAATATTAACAAAATGGATATTTGAATTAACAATTCACTTACCAGAAGCAGAAACAAATTTCATTTGACCCGGGGCCCATTCTAAGTCGAACACTGCATTATAATGACATTGTGGGGCATTTAAAGATTTTTCCTCTGCACTATAATTCCTTTTATTTACGTCTTGCAAAGCAATTTTCCCATCTTCATTCGCAATGGCTAATATGTGGCGATAACCATCGCAATTTGCAAATTTAGCGGAAAATATTGGTGGCTCTGGATTATAATCAGAATTGTAATCTGAAGGCGAAATACCTAGCCAACTATCTTCTCTCGCTACACAAAGTCGCCGCAGTGCGAAGTCATAACCGACATTTGTGTCTGTAATTAAAGGAAAAATTAAATTCGAAGAAAATTAAGCACATGGTATTCACAAAATGCATAAATTCTACAATTGCTAAGAGTTTCCGCTGTTTTTATGTTTATAATGTCACAAATTTGTTGGATTGCTTTGGCGCTAGTTTTACCCGCGAAACCGCCGAAAATTTGGAGCCAAAATTATTTAGCGAGAGCATACAACTTTTCTTACTTAAAACTTACTTATGTCTATAAAATTTAACTTACGCATTCCATGTTCTCTTTTTATTAAGGATTGAAGGCTATTCATTTTCGAGTTTTAATATTGTATCTTTTAATTTTTATTTGAATATATTTTAACTTTAGTGAGAAGCGCTTCACATCATCGCAAACCCTCCCATTCAGCTGATTAACAAAGATTGATTAAAGCGAATTTCGTTAATTCTTGAGTGAAGTTTTGGGCGAAAAAAAACAGTGTTGTAAAGTAAACAACACCATGTCAAAAAATGATTACAATTATCGAGTTTACCCATATGACATAATTACTCCTAATTTTAATTATAATTTTACTAATTTGATTCGTTCGACTCTTTTCGTTACAAATTCATGTTAAAATTACGAACTTATTTCATACCACTGCATAAGAGCTGACTGCCAAGATTATGGTTAAATTAAAATTAGTAAAAATTAATTTAAAATTAAATTTTTAATTCACTATAATACAATTGTGTAACGATATTGCGAATAATTATCAATAAAAAAACCAATAGGAAGTAAAATATTAGGGGTATTCACGATGACTGTGCATCGTTGCATGTGCAAAATTATTTGATTTCACAAAAACAATTCCCTTATAAATAATTCTGCACTTGATTTGCAGGACAATATTCAAGACCATATTTTCAACACCAATTACCTCTTGCATATTTGATTTTCAAGACTCTATTGTGAATAATACTACTTTTTTTACTGTTCGCTGGGCAACACTTTAGCGAAACGGTCGTTTTTTTTTATTTTGTAATGTTATGATTTTATGCAATTGTTTGATTTTGTATTTATTTTACGTCCAACAATGTCGGAGCTGCTGGCCAAAAATATTCGGAGATGTTGCAACAAAAAGTAGATCAACAATGAGGTAAATCTCATTCTAGATTTCCTTGAGGAAACTGAAGGTTTTGAGGTATATATGTTAGTGTTACGATATATATTTGCATCATGCCAACAACAACATGCAGCTTATAATCACAGGCGATGATCAGTGGACCATTCAATAGATTTTGGAACTTTTGATAAAATTCCACGACGGCACATAAGCACAGTGGAAATGTCTTCTTCTAAATCATCCAAAATGTTATTTATTACATCGTCATCATAAGTATCAATTTCTGAAATTCGTATGAATATAAATGTACTGCTATATTAAACATATAAATGCACGAATCTAAACTACCCATTAATTCCGCAACAACAAAATCCAGCTCAGTATTCAATATATTCTACTTTTCACTTTTTCTTGGCATTGTTAAATACGTAAACAAAAATCAGCTGTTCTTAATATTTTAAAGACTATTATGCACAAAGTGTGTTCACGATTATTTAAGTTTGCAACGATGCACAGACATCGTGAACACCCCTATTGCTTCTATATTCGATATTTTATTTTACGAGCGCTATTATAAAATTAAAATAATATTAATTATAATATTAAGAATTATCCTGTGATAAATTTTTAACGAAGCGAGATGAATGTGCGAAATTAATAAAATTCAAGAACAAAAGGAAATTAGGAGTATTGTAACTACTTACACATTTTACGAAATGGGTGTCTATCAAACAAGATAAGACAAATTTGTTTTTGATACCTTACAGGTATATATATGCAAATAAACAAATACACATATTTACAAAACACGCAAACTAAAAGTTAAAGTACCAAAAATGAATAATAATTTGTAACCCTAAAATAACAAGTAGAAAAATAACAACGAAATACGAATAATTTACAAAAACATTTATTGACGGTTAACTGGAAATTTTGTACGCACTTCCAAAAATCATTCACAATAGACGAATTTTTAGTCTTGGCAATAATGCAATTTGAGCTGCTTTTTAATTAAGCGGTTTCAAAAAAGTTGGACTAAATAATCCAGCAGTGTTGTTGTTTTATATGTTATTTTTAAAAGATGCGGTTTAGTGTCATTTACCATTAAAATTCTAGAGAATAACGTCAAAAACAAAAGCAATTATTGTGTAATTACGTTTATAATGAAGTATTCCAGTGTAGTCGCCATGTATACTCTTTTTGGAAGTATTAATACTCTTTCTTCGCTATTGGCTAATTTAAGTGGTGTAGTATAAAAGCTAAATTTTAATTTTGAAGAAATTGCTAACTGAATAACAATAGTATTCTCTTGATATTTACTTGATTTTAAAATTAAAATGGGTTTCATTACAGTTCTGAGATAAGATAATTAAACCCCACAAATGCATTCCTTAAATTTTTCTCTAACTATGATTAACTATGACTATGATTTATGTAATAAACTAATACTGTCTTTTACTATGTTCAGACACATATTAATTTTGCAAAAATCTTAATTTCATCTTCGTTTCAGCGAAATTTAGTTGTGTTTTTCGTACAAAATTCAGTTTTGAGGTTAGAACGAAATTAAGAAAATGACCTTAATTTCGTTGTTAATTAAAGAAAAAGTGACATTTGTTTTAAATAAATGTCAATGACAGTTGACTTTAATAAAACCGGGAAATATTTTGAAAGCAGTGCAAATTTTTAAATTTGAAGATAGAGAAAAAAATGTAACTGTTATTAATTTAAAATAAAGTAAAAATTATAATTCACATACCTGAAATTCAGTAAAGCTAATAAAACTACTGAATGCCATCCTTTATAGTTATTATAATCAACTTTTGAAATTTCCCAGATACAAAAAGTGTTTGGAGCATGTAATTTTTTACATTCGATTTGTAAACAAAAAACATATGATTTCCTTAATTTGGGGCAGTATGAACACTTTCAAAAATAACTAAATTTTATTTTCACGAAATCAAGGAAATTTTGCTGTCTAAACATAGTATTTAAAATGCGTTTATATTACAGTTTGTGTTTTCAGATAATGACTTTATTTTTTTAAAAATGAACATTTTTTAGGTACTTATCACGTTTAGTAGACAACCATTTCGTAAAATATATAAATAGTATAAAAATGTAAAAAATGTTCTAGAGATCAACGGATTTTAGCAAGCCTTTCGTTTATTGGTGTGAAGGTTAAGGCCAAATTTCTCCACCTTCGGCTTACCGCAAATCCGATTCCGAATTCGTGCTTTGTTGCATGGCATCTGTAGTAGATGTCACGATATTCTTGTTGTTAGCATCCTTGTCTCGTCCAGGTGCATATTCTTCAATCATGTTCCTTAGTGTCATCAACGGTATGTGGTTTCCTTATTCGAGGCCGATTCTTTGTTTTCATGGAAGTTGTGTTTTTCCATAATGGGTTCCAAACCTGTCGCATAACCTCATAAATCCATGAGGAGGATTTTGATGCACACATTAGTTCATTACGCACGGATGATTTTATCTATCCAGAGGCTGTGTCTCAACTTCGAGATAACAGTGACAAGAATCGCGCTGGCATTTACCAATTCAAATGCAATTAGATAATTTACCTTGTATGTTCACTCCTCTCCCCTAAAGGAATAACTACTGTTCTTAATTAAGGGTGCTTTAAAACATATTCAAAATCATTTTCTAAGAGTAACAACACAATAAAAATAAATGGAAAATTACGATTGTGTCAAGGCTACAATTTATTAAGAACGAATAGCTCTAATGTGCAGAGCAAAAACGGATGTCAACGAAGACAGAACTCTCTGCTGTGCTAATAGGCCACTGGTCAGTGAATCTACAGTAACAAAACAAGGACTATGCACAACTTGCAAAAAAGAGGAAGCTCAGCGACCATTGAAATTCGCAAGCATTGCAAGAAAGTAGACTGTGACACCACTATGACAGGCTATATAAAATTGTGTTACATAGTGAAGGGGTCTAAAAATGACAAAAATTTAATTACATTATATTTGAACGTCCCCTAATATGTTAATTTTTATTAAATGCAAGTTTTTTGTTATCGAACTATTTCTCGAACTATTTTTGTTTTTTATTAAAGCCTTTTCTTTTTGATTATTATCTGATCTCTAAATTTTGTAAATATTTTACAAATAGTGATTCCCATATTGATTTCAGATAAAGCGCTATTTCCATTCTCTGTTCTAGACTAATCTCGGTAGTATAGCATAGTGTTGTTGGTCCACTACTATAGTGGTAATGTTGTCGGACCATGTCTTATCCATACCATGTCTTATCCATATTGTCTTAGTGTGTTTCTTAAAGAATTTTCATATCTCTTACTATATTAGTTGAGCTAAATCAATTTTCGTTTTTTGCTTTAGGACTTTTTGGTTCATACTACGAATTTATTTAGGAAGAGAGTTGCTGATTTGTTCATATTAAGAACTAATATTATAAAACATTTATTTTGTTTATTCAATTTATTTAGTTTATTCGGTTAATATTTTTGTTATATTTTCTTTAATTAGATTAGTAAAATTTGGTTCTATGTTCTTTATCTGAATTTCATTAGCAAACAACAGAGAAGCTATCGTTTTGGAAAAAAACTATTTTATCTATAAGTTAAGCAGTGTTGACCATTCGTCAGCATTAATATGTAACAACGATGTCAGCGACCCAGTCCATGCGCACAATTAAAATTGTCGCTTTATTGCAGCAGCGGTTTACGCAATATCGAATTTCATTTCGGTGCAAAGAACCCAAAGCAAGCGCGTGTTGGCATTGTTATTGTACTTAATCAATAACAATAAATTAAATTATAGAATAAGCACAAATAATTTGTAAGGGCAGCTGACATTGCTATTATAATAAATAATAAATAAAAATTATAAATTTTGTAAAATAATAAAATTAATTTGTAAGTGCAGCGCACTAGCAAATTTTAATAAATTTTAGATATACTTCTCAATCGAAAGGGTAACGTGTTTTATTTTAAAAACGCTCCGTGATTCGACTTAAAATAACTGGCGCCCAACGTAATATAAGCTATAACGTAATATTAAAGCAATTAAAAATTTTTTTAAAGTGAATAAAAAAAATATAAATAGAATTTTAGCGCGACGTGAAACGCAATAAAATAAAAAAAAATTAGAACATTAAAAACTAAAAACAAAAAAAAACTAAAACTAATTAACAAAAACTATCTAATAAGTAAATAACAATTTAGTGCAACATAGTGTGCAATAACAAATTATTAAAGTAAAAAAAAAATAATCAACATTAAGTGAAAAGAAGACTGCACGCACGCCGAGCGTAGCCATCGTGGGATCAACTTACTGTGAAAAA